AATAAAACCCTTTTTATTTATCTTTACTTTATATGTATGAGTGTTTTGCCTTTGTGTATGTAAGTGTACTATGTGTATGCAATGCCTGTGGAACCCAGAAAAGGGCATCAAGATCCCCTGGAACTGTAGTTAAGAACAGTTGTTAGCCACTATGTGGGTGCTAGGAACTAAACCTGGGTCCTCCGAAAGAACAATCAGTGTTCTTAACCACTGAGCTATCTTTCCAGTCCATTATCATCCCTTTTAATGAATGAACTAATTAATTAATTAATTTTTTTGATGTGTGTGCATGTATGTATGTATTTAAGGTTTGTGTGAGTGTGCATGTGGGTACATGTGCATGTGGAGGTCAGAGACCAATGTAGGATGTCTTCCTCAACCACTTCATTTTATTTGTGTGTGTGTGTGTGTGTGTGTGTGTGTGTGTGTGTGTGTGTGTGTATGTGTATGTGTGCATTCATGTGTTTGTATGGGGGCAAATGTCATGGCACATACGTGGAGGTCAGATGGCAACCTCGGGTGTTGACCCTTGACTTCTTCCTTGTTTGCAATTGTGTCTTTTCATTGTTTTTCTGCTGTGTACACTAAACTAGATGGACAGGGAGCTATCAGGGATTCTCCCATCTCCACCTCCCCGTCCATGGTAGTAACAGAGGGATTACAGGTGTGCACTATCATATCTGGTGAGTTCTCAGAATTTGAATGAAAATCTCAGGCACTCTCGCTTGTGTCCAAGTACTTTACCCAGAGTCATCTCGTCAGCCTTCCACCTTATTTTTTGAGATAGCGTCTCTTAGGGAACTTGGAGCTTGTACACTGGTAGCCAGCAAGCCCCAGGGAACTTTCTGTCTCTGCCTCCACAGAGCTGCAATTGAAGGTGCAAACCCCATGTCTGGCTTTTTACATGGATCCTAGAGATCCAAATCAGGTCCTGATACTTTCATGGCAATTACTTTACTGACTTAGCTATCTCCCCAGGCATACCTTTTAATAAAATACATTATCAGGATCTCCAATGCTTATCCATTTCCTTCATTTGTCAACATTTTCTTTTCAAATTGGGTTGAGAAAATTCTCCAACGTCTTTAGATATAAGGGAAGCTACCTTCTGAAAAAGTAGAGGAAGGTGAACACCTCACTCTTCACATAGATGTAACAGGTAGTTTATCAGCTTTACAAAATCTAGAATCACTTGGGAGGAGAGACTTGGTAAGGAATTGTCTAGATCAGGTTGGCTTTGAACATGTCTGTGAGTGGGCTGGACAGCTTGTTGTCAACTTGATAAATGTGGGTAGAGGGAATCTCAGTTGAAGAATTTCCCCCACTGGATTGGCCTGTGACCATGTCTGTGAGGCATTTTCTCAATTATTGAGTGATATGGGAAGGCCCAAATCAATGTGGGCATTGCCACCTTTGGGCAGGTAGTCCTGTGTTCTATAAGAAAGTAGGCTGAGCACAGGCCAGAGAAGCAAGCCAATAAGCAGCATTCCTCCACGGTCTGTACTCCAGGTTCCTGCTCTGAGCGCCTACCCTGGCTCCCCTTGATGATGAACTGTAAACTGTAAGGTGAAGTAAAACCTTTCCTCCCAGGTTGGTTTTGGTCAGTGTTTTTATCACAGCAATAGAAAGAAACTAGGACAGTGAGGGGTGTTGTATTGATTACTAATGTTAATTGATGTGGGAAGACCCATCCCATTGTGGGTGGCACCAATCCCTAGGCAGGAGATCCCAGACTGTGTAAGTATAAAGAGGGGGCTAAGCAACAACAGGCATACATATATTCACATTTTTCTGCTCTGTACTGTGTGTATGATGTAACTAGCTGTTTGAAGTTCCTGACTTGATTCTCTAACAATGGACTGTAACCTGGAACTGTAAGCTGAATAAGCCTTTTCTACCATAAGTTGCTTTTTATCAGGGTGTTTTATCACAGCAAGAGTAATGAAATTAGGACAATTTCCCATAATTCCCTTGCCTCTAATATAGTGCCTTGTCCCTGATATCTCCAGGGACTATTTGAGGTCTTCAAGTCTAAAGGCTCTGGTTTCATTTCCAAAGAAAAAATTGTGGTTTCCTGAAGGCTTGGGGGTGGGGTGCTCTTCTCACTGCATAAACTAGGACTTAAGTCAGGATTCTTTACTTGCCTCTGTATAAAAGCATCCACCTCAAGCTGGGCATGGTGGCGCACACCTTTAATCCGAGTGCTGAGGAGGCAGAGGCAGGTGGAGCTCTGTGAGTTTGAGGACAGCCTGGTCTACATAGCAAGTTCCAGGCCAGCTGTGGCTGCAGGGAGACCCTGTCTCAAAAAAGACAAAAAAAAAGTATCTGCCTCATGCTGGGTATAGGGGCAAAATCTTTAATCCTAGCATGCAGGAGGCAGAAGCAGAAGGATCGGGAGACCCTGTCTGAAAAAAAGGGGGGGTGGGCTGGAGAGATGGCTTAGCAGTTAAGAGTGCTGGCTGCTTTTCCAGAAGACCTGGGTTCAAATCCCAGCACCCACATGGTGGTTAACAACCGTGCATAACTCCAATTTCAGGGATCCGACACCCTCTTCTGACCTCCGCAGGCACTTCATGACATGGGTATACTTACATACATGTAGGTGTAACACTCATACACATAAAATAAAAATAAATAAATAAAAATCTCTCTCTCTCTCTCTCTCTCTCTCTCTCTCTCTCTCTCTCTCTCTCTCTCGGTCTTTTTGAGTCAGGGTCTCCCTGTAGCACCAGCTGGCCTGGAATTCACTATGTAGACTAGGCTGGCCTTGAACTCCCAGAGATCTGCCTGCCTCTGCCTCCCGAGTGCTGGGATTAAAGGCATGCGCTACCAAGCCCCAGTAGAGTTCATCTCTTATGCAAAGTAGAAGCTCACTAAATATTCACACATGTATATTTCAAAGAGGAATATAATTTGGTTTCTTTATGAAGACTTTTTAATTCAGAAATCATCTTTATTCTATTGACTAGGCAGCTTTTTAGAAATTCTGCAGAACTGAAATCCCATTTTTCTTTTTTTTTTCTTTTTTCATTTTTTAGTCTTTTTGAGACAGGGTCTCCCTGTAGCCCCAGGGGCCTGAAGCCTGCTATGCAGACCAGGCTGGCCTTGAACTCAAAGATCCCACTTCTAAAACTGATCTGATAGCTGTTTTCATGCCTTCTGAATTGGCATTTCCTTGTTATGTCATTTATTAATTACAATGAACATATATAATTAATTTTGAACACTCATGTATCAAATATTACTGGGCATCTACTAGGTACCAACCATTGTCCTAGTCAATAGGTTACTATGACAAGACAATGCTTCTGACCTAAAGAGCTCAGTATCTCACAGGAAGATGAATGATTAAACTTGAAATATAAAATATTATGGCGGGTCCTAACTTGGCAGTTAACAACTGTCCATAACTCCAGTTCCAGGGGATCCGACCACATCTTCTGACCTGCGCAGGCATTGCATGACACAGGTGCACTCACCTACATTTAGGCAATACATGCATACATATAAAATAAAAATAATAAAATATTTTTTAAAAATAGTTTGCCAACTTTAGACCCATTCCTGGTGAAAAAATTATTACCAAGTGCCTCTGTTGCACCCACAATTGAAGAGAAAGAGTTCAATTTCATACCAAAGACCCATGTCTTTTCCTCATAATTCATGTGGGAGAACCAGAGAACTCAGAAAATGCAACACTCTTTAGAAAATAGTAAGATCAGTTTCTGAAACAAATCTTACCACATGACCTCCTGCCATTCCCGAGCCCCTAAATAGTCATAAGACTTATGAAAAAAAATCTACCATGACCCCTAGTTAGGAAAAATCAAAGATTCCTCCTCTGTAAGAATACAATACTTTAGCCGGGTGTGGTGGCACACGTCTTTAATCCCAGCACTCAGGGGCAGAGGCAGGCGGATCTCTGTGAGTTCGAGGCCAGCCTGGTTTCAATAGAGTTCCAGGCCAGGTGGGACTACAGGAAGACTCTGTCTCAAAAAGACCAAAAAAAAAAAATAAATAATAAAAAAATAAAAAAATAGTACTTTGGAGAGAACACCTTTAATTAACACACACACCTTTAATTACACCACCAGAGAGATGGTGGCAGATAGATCTCTGTGAGATTAAGGCCAGACTGGTTTACATAGTGAGCTAGTGAGTTCCAGGCCAGCTGGAGCTACAGGAAACTCTGTCTCAATGTCCTTCCCCTCAAAACTTGTTATTCTTGTTCTTGCAACTAGTCTAAAAATACAAAATAATGTAATTATACTTACATTTATATTTCTGATATCATACTCCAAAATCATTTAATTGAATTATGTGCTTGCCTAATGACCAAGACAGGTATGTCACTAGTTTTTCTTAACACTATTACTCAAATTCATGTTCTTTTTCTTTTCTTTCTTTTTTAGCCTTTTTGGGACAGGGTCTCCCTGTAGTGCCAGCTGGCCTAGAACTCGATAAGTAGACCAGGCTGGCCTGGAACTCACAGAGATCCACTTGTCTCTGCCTCCAAATACAGGGATTAAAGGTATGCGCTGCCACCATGCCTGGCAAATCCATGTTCCTTTTCCTGCCAAAATTAGCTTTCTACAATCAATAGTAAGATTAATAGTAAGCTCATTCTAAAATGGAGGAGCCAGCACTGGTAGAGAAGTTAGTGTTGTAACATACTTTAACAGTCATTCAAACAAAACAAAACAAAAAAGCTGACGAGTAAACCTGCAATTCCAGGACTTGGGCAAAAGAGGAAGGAGGAACACAAGTTTGAGACCAGCTTGAATTCCACTACCCTGGGTTACATTAGGAGATTCTGTCTCAAAATTAATTATTGTCTTGCTCTGAATTAAAGTAAATCTGTTTGAAAAATTACACTGCTGATTTAACGAGACAATGTCATTGATGAGTCAAGCATCATACATGCAACAGCATTAGTGTTTTTACTGATCTAGTTCTCTCAAGTTCAGTATCTTAAAGAAGCAAAACGATGGCTTTCTTACCTTTTCCTCCTTACACACATGATAAACAACCTTCTCTGTGCTTATTCATGATGCTTGCTGCACCATCAACTGATCCTGCTGATTCAGTATGCTCTGTTTGATCCTAAAGAAAAAACAGTGTTCGTTATATTTGCTAAAACAATAAAGTCTTCATTTTTAGCACATAAACTTACCACAGCTGGAAAAATAAGTGTAATGGGACTTAACGATAAATTATAATTTCATCTTCAGATTCAAAGACCTTCCCAGCATGGAAAGCAACAGCACATAACACTTTATTGAAGAAGGCCCAATGTTAAAAGTGTTAGGGAAGAGTTAGGAATTTCTACACACTCATTTTCAGGGGATAATATACAACAAAACAATAACAGCAGGCAATTTTTGCCCAGTAACTTTTAACTGTTAATTCATAAAATTGGGGTTAAAAAGCTTCCTGCTGAGATTTTTATGACCAAACAATTGTTTTTCTCCAAATGTCATCTCTTTGGATCCAAGTCATTCTTCACTGCTTAAAAGCAATGGATCTATTGACTCATATATTGAGCTTTACTGTTAAATATTATGCCAAACACAAAACTTCCACAAACGTGACTTCCTTTCTCTAAATGAGTAGTCCAACTTAAATGCTTCTGTAACTGCTTAGAGATGATGGAAATTTTCTTAAGGGCCTAATTTAGCCTTAAGCAAGATTAGTAGCTAGAACTAAACTAAGACTAAGAATATCATAGTATGTGCTGGGTATGGTGGCACATGCCTTTAATCCCAGCACCCAGGAGGCAGAAGCAGATTGACTGAGGCCAGTCTGGTCTACAGGCAAGTTCCAGGCCAGCTGGGGCTACAGGAAGACCCTCTCCCCCACAACCCAAAAAAGGAAGGACTATCATATTACTAGCATAAAGTGTGGAATACAATTATAGGATTTACAGACTAAGATTCTTAGAGGTAGCTACTAAGCATCATATTTAAGTATAAAGATAAAGCGAGGTACCAGAAGAAATCTCCTGACATTTTTATAGATATTACATTATTTAATATGAAAATGATGGGCTAAGAAAGAAAAAGCCCAAAAATTCAAGTTTCAGAGACCAATAAAGAACACAGGACAAAAATCACTGGTCAAAGGTTTCCCTGCCTTTAATTAGTTGGAGGCTGGGGATGCAGCTCAATGATAGAGCACTTGTCTTGCATACATGAAGCCCTAGGTTTAATTCCTAGCAGCACACACATGCACACCTGCATGTGCAAACATGAAAAATGAAAAACATCTATGTGCTATTATATACGCTAAATGAGAATAACGATTAATGCTAAAATCAGACATATTTGCCAAGTAAAAGATTAAACAAAACACTAGGAACTACAAAATAAACTACTGAAAATGAAGGTGATGCAAAAGTAAACTAATTGAAGATTTTTTTTTTTTTTTTTTGAGACAGGGTGTCCCTGTAGCCCCAGCTGGCCTGGAACTCACTATGCAGATAAGGCTGTCTCTGCTTCCCAAATGCTGGGATCAAAGGCATGCACCACCATGCCCAGCTGAAGATCTTCTTAAACAAATAAAATTCATTCTACAAATTTATTGTCAAATCCCGTGTGTGTCTATGCTTGTTTCTATTTTTTTTTTAATGCATGAGGCAAGCAGATTATGTAGTGGTTACTTTTATATGTATGTGATGGCTACTTGACTGGGACACACGGCATCCAGACTTCTCTGTCTAAGACGGGCATTTCTGGATGAGACTACCATATGAATTGGTGGACTAAGTAAAGCAAATTGCCCTCGTCAATATAAGTGGATGTCATCCAATTCATTTAGAACATGAAGGTAGAGGAAGTAAAAGGTGAAGAAGAGAATTCTATGTGTCTAACTTGTTTCACTGGGACATTAGTCTTTTGCCCTTGAACTGGGATTTACATGCTGATCCTCCAGTCAGAACTATACCATCAGCTTTCCTAGGTCTCTGGATTGCAGAAGGCAGATTATGAGCCTTCTAAGTCTTTATAATCAAGACAATTTCCTTATAGTAAATTTATATATACAAATGCACCTTTTTTTTTTTAACTGACTTTGAAACAGGGTCTTTTTATGTGGCCCAGGCTGGCCTTTTGATTTTTGAGGCAGGGTTTCACTATGTAGCTCTGGCTGGCCTGGAACTCACTATGTAGACTAGGCTGGCCCCGAAATCATAAGAGATCTGCCTGCCTCTGCCTCCTGAACGCTTGGAATAAAGGTGTGTGCAACCACATCCTGCCTAAGAATATTAAAAAACTATATAAAATTTATTATATATGTATATATGTACACACACAGTCATCTACCATATATGTTTCATTCAACGATAGACCACTTTTTTTGAGACAGGGTCTCATTGTGTAGCCCTGATTGGCCTGGGACTTGCTATATAGGCCAGGTTTGAATGCACAAAGATTTGCCTGCCTCTTTGGGATTAAAGGACTGTGCCACCATGCCCAGCTTGCAGGCTAGTCTTGAATTCACAGTCAACTCTCTCTTAATGATGGGGACACATTTGGAGAAGAGCATTCTTAGGTGACTTCATTGTGTGAATATCATAAAGTACTTAAATAAACTAATGGCTATGAGATCACTAAGTGATATCTGTTAAATATGTGGTCTAGCCATGTATGGAGGCACTTAGGACACAGAGGCAGAAGATATAAGTTCAAGGCTAGACTGACCTACACAGTGAGTTCCAGGCCAGGCGACTGCACAGTAAGACCCTGTTCCAAAAAAAAAAAAAATGTAGTCTACTGCTGAAATAAATAGTATGTGGTAGATGACTGTGCATGTGTGTAATACAATCTTATTGGCTCAGTTTTTTTTTTAGTGACTCCAACTACAAATATTAAAGAACCTACCTAAATATTATATGGTGTTTTTCCTGATTTTAATATGAATTTTATTTTTCTTTATATTTTATTGAATTTTTGTGTATTTCATAGAGAAAATCATCTTTATATCCCCTTCCCCTTCGGCACCCTCCTATAGCCCACCCACTGGAGTTCACATTTTCTGTCATTTGTGTTACGGTTTATCATATAGTTAGCTGTCCCTCAGTGCAAATTCATCCACTTGGGGTCTAGTCAGTCTATCTAGAGTCCCTCACTTTAAGATTAACTCATTCTCATCCAGCAGTAATCAGCTGCCAATAATTCTTTGACCAAGATTGGGGCCCACTGTTCATTTCCACAGTTCTGTGCTGGGTTTTTGTCTGTTTAAGTTTGTATGAGTTTTGTGCATGCTGACACCATTGCTGTAGGTTCATATGAGAAGAGTCCCAGGAGCCTGTAGGATTATTTCCGTATGGTCATGCACCTCCTCCCTGGCTCTTACAATCTTTCTGCCCCCTCTTCTGCAATAATCCCTGAGCCCTGGGTGGGTGGATTTTACTATAGGAGTCCTGTCGAAGGACCCACACTCTACAGACTCTTATTCTCTTCATTTTGGCCATTTGTGACTTTTTGTGTTCCTAGCCCTCTGTTGCATCAGGGAGCTTCACTGATGAGAACTGAAAGATGCATTATTAGTGTTTTCTTCATCCCTTGTTCTATGTTCTGTGAGCCTTAGGTGTAGAGGTTGCATCCTAGATGTGCCACTTAGGCTTGGACAGTTCACAGACAATCTGTGTGGGACCAGTTATAGAACTCTGTAACTATTTCTGTCTCTTAAGAAAGGCTTCTTTGATGGGTGGTGACTGAGGTACTTGTCTACAGACTTAAGGATCCATATTACATTTGTCTAGAGATGTGACAGCCTTGGAGTTTTCTCTAAGATCTATGACCTCTCCAGCTATGTATATTTGGCTAGGTTTACGTACCACACAAGTTTCCTCCCATTGAGTGGGCTTTAAGTCCAATTAGGTAGCTGTTGATTACCCCCAAGATAAAAGTACCACAACTGCACCAATGTCGTTTGCTGTGCTGGTCATTGATGTGGTTTTTAGGCCTTAAAGCTGGGGTTGGACCATGGACTGATGTTCTCCCTTAGCAACTTGCATGGTGCTCTTCAAAGCTATGAGAACTAGCCTTCAGGGAAAGTGGCTTTCAGGTCAGTTTCAGCTCTAATGCTCCAAATCTTGTGCCCAAGTATGTCCTGTCTTCAGCAATAGGGTCTTTTCATAACCTTCTGGGAGGTAATCAAGGACTGTGGCAATAGCCTGTGTAATTTTGTGAGTCTCTTGGACTACCCTGGCCAACAACTCAAAGGAAGGTTTCTCCTGTCTGGCACTGTTTCTTGTTATGTAGCCTTCAGCTATACTCACAGACTCATGTGAAGATACTGTATATGTAATTTTTCAGTAGGTTTTGGGACTAATACCATTCCCCCTGGTTTTTTATACTAGCTAGGCACTATTTTTCTCTCCTCTATCGATCTTCCTGTTTTGTCCTCTCTCCCCACCCTTCCAATTTAAAATGTCTCCATTTCCCCCATTTCTCCCTTGATAATTTCTGTATGCTATGGTCCCACCTCTACTATACTCCTTCCTCCCCATAGTTCCTTGTATAGCCCTCCTTCTCCCCCTCCCATTGAACTACCCCCTTTTTACACATTTCTCCCTTAGTAACACTTGTTTCTTCTTGCTCGGGTTCCTTCTTTTCTTTACCTCCCTGGTTCTCTTCCATTTTCCTGGTTCCTACAGTTACATCAGGATATGTACTCACTTATAAGAATTTGGTGCTTGGATTTACAAGTGAGAACATATGTCTTTTGTTTTTCTGAGTCTGTATTGCTTCACTTAGTATAAGTTTCTAGATCCATCCGTTTACCTGCAAATTTCATGATTTCATCTTTCTTTACTGCTGAGTAGAACTCCATTGTGTAAATGTACATTTTTGTTGAGGGGCACTTAGATTGCTTCCATCTTTTAGTTAATGTGAAAAGAGCAGCAACAAACATGGTGTATCTCTGCAATAGGATGAGTCCTTTGGGTATATGCCAAGGAGTGGTACAATTTGGGTCATATGGTAGGTTCAATTTATTTATTTATTTATTTATTTATTTATTTATTTATTTATTTATTGTTTTGATGGCCTGTAAGTTTACTGGTTTGTGATGGAACTCACTGTAGACCAGGCTGGCCTTGA